ATTTTTAAAAATTTTTAAAACGGGCCCATTTTAAAGTTACAAAAACCAACCCCATGGGGGTATCGTAAAAAAATTGATTTTCCCAGTAAAGGGTTTGTAGAGTTTAACCCCATCCCATGAATTGCACTTAAAGCTTTTCCCAAGGGACCAATCACAATTCTTCTTCAGAAGTGTCAAAGAGGCATGACGCAAAAAAAAAAACCCCTTGTATAAGGGTAAAAAGGGGATAAGGGGAACTGCCAAAAGTTTAAAAGAAATTGTTTTCCCAGGGAGTACCCCAGAGATTTTTTATGTGCCTCTAAAACGGGGAAAAATGGACAGAAGAAAAAAGGGGAAAGGGAAAAAGTGGAAAAGGAAATTTGCCCCCCCAAACGCCCCCTGGAGGGGCCCCCCGCCCAAACCCACCCCAAAACAGTAGACAGGGGGGACTGTTCTGTTCCCAATGTTAAAAGGGGGTTTGTAGGGGTGCAAAAAGTTTTTGGGTTTCCCACAAAAAAAGCGAGGGTTAGCTTGGCATAAAACTACCAAAAATATGGGAAGAAGAATCACTTCGGGGACTATTGCTGTGAGGGTGGTCATTGGGAGAGAGGAAATCAAAGTAGGTAAAGGGGGAATTTCCTGGGGGGTTTGGGGTTTTTAAGGAAAATTTGTTTCCGCGTCCGGAACGAAAAAATAAGCCAGGACCTTTGGAAAATTTTTCCCCATAAAAATTGGCCCCGGCCCCCGGAACTGTCCCCCCCCCCCGCGGACGGGGGCGGGGATGTTGGGAAGGCGCGAAAGAAAAAGGGGCGCTGACCCTTAATGCATTCATTCTTTGCATGTGATCGAATTAGCCAATCAGAAACCCAAACCCAAACCCAGCCAGGTAATGGTCGAGCAAATAAAGGGCCCGGCCCTTTTTAGAATTCTCCATTTCCCCTCCGGGTCATTCAAGAGGGGCCCAGCCCTTTGGGTGTATTCAGGGAAAAGAGTTAGGGACAGAGAAACTTTTATTAGGGACCCCAAAAAGTTGTTGGGGCCCAAACAGAAGCGTTATTTGGGCCACGGGAAACGTTACTTGGGGCCCACGAAAACGTTATTGGGGTCACAAATTTTAGTTAGGGCCACAAAAAAGTTTCTTAGGGCCACAGAATTGTTACTAGGGACAGACAAAATTGTTACTGAGGGTTTTCAGAATTTTTTCTGGGGGCCCCCAGAATGTTACTTAGGGCCACAAAAAAATTTTAAACTTAAGGCCACAGAATTGTTATTTAGGGACAGACACAGAATTGTTACTGAGGGACCCAGATTTTTTTACTGAGGGCCACAGAATCTTTAAACTTAGGGGCCACAAATTTTGTTACTTAGGGCCACAAAAAACGTTATTAGGGTAACAGAATCTTTGTTAGGGCCACAGAAACGTTATTAGGGAACGAATTGTTACTCAGGGGACGCAGAATTTTTAAATGGGGTTTTTCCCGAATTGTTACTGAGGGCCACAGAATCGTTACTTAGGGCCACAAAAAATTTACTTAGGGCCCAAATTTGGGTTTATTTGGGGGACAGACCAGAATTTTTACGGAGGGACAAGATTTGTTTTGAGGGGCCACGGAACCCGTTACTTGGGGGCCCACAGAATTGTTACTTAGGGACAAACAAAAGAATTGTTACTGAAGGACACAGATTTGTTACTAAAGGGCCCACGGGAATCGTTACTTAGGGGCCACAAAAAATTACTTGGGGGCCACAAAAAAGTTACTTAGGGGCCACAAAAATTTTTTACTTGGGCCCCCCGCACAGAATTGTTATTGGGGGGACACAGAATTTTTTCTGGGGCCACAAAACCGTTACTTAGGGCCACAGAAAGGGTTATTGGGCCCACAAAAAATTGTTACTTGGGGAAAAACCGGGACACAGAATTGTTACTGAGGGAAAACGATTTGTTACTGGGGGCCCACAGAAACTTTTACTTGGGCCCACGGGAAAACGTTATTTTGGGCCAAAAAATCGTTAGTTGGGCCACAGAAACGTTACTTAGGGACACAGAATTGTTACCCCAGGGACAGACACAGAATTGTTACTGGGGGGATACGGGAATTTGTTATTTGGAGGGCCACAAAAATCGTTACTTAGGGCCACAAAAAACTTTTACTTGGGCCCACAGAAACGTCACTTAGGGCCACAGAATTGTTACTTAGGGACAAAACAAAAAATTGTTATTGGGGGAAACAGAATTGTTACTGAGGGCCACAAAAAACCGTTACTTGGGGCCCCACAGAAACGTTACTTGGGGCCCAAAGGGAAACTTTATTGGGCCCCACAGAATTGTTACTTAGGGACAGACACAGAATTTTTCCTGAGGGACACAGTTTTGGGTTACTGGGGGGGCCACAGAAACGTTACTTGGGGGCCAAACAGAAACCCGTTACTTAGAGAAATCGACAGATGGCTGTCTCCGCGAAAATTGAAAATGGGAAAACCATGTTGCCCGACAACGGAAAAAAACATGGGTGTCTGCCCCTGCGTTAAGGAAGGTTGTGCCATGCGCGGCTCACGTGTTCAATCTGGTTGTCAAGCCGGTTCCTAAAATTCCCACCATCCCACTGCAAGCACATCCTTTAAAATGTTCACGTAAACCTTTGCATGCATTTTCATCACATTTCCTGACACCGCAAAGCACCACCCTCCTTGAGCTGCAGGCTGTCCAGGAACGGAAGTTCCAACAGCATCGCCTGATCTGCGACGTTGCAACAAGGTGGAATTCAACGCTAGCACAGGTTAGACGCTTTACGGAGCATCGATAAGGCTATCCCACGATGTGCGACGTTAAAAGCGGATAAAGGTACTCCCCTGTGTAACTTCGATGTCAGCCAATGGCAGCTCATGCAGTGACACCACGCCGCTTGCTCAGGCCCTGGTTGAGGGAGGCCACGCTATTGTGACTCGTCGCATTTGACTATGGGAACCATGCTAACGACGTTCATTCCTGGCTGTTTGCACGTCCTGGAAGGCACAAATAACATACTGTTAACAATGGTATGGTCAGGGTGGCGGTAGACTGTTTCTGTGCGCAAGTCCATCTCATAAACGCCAACATGACCCGCTGTGGGTAGGGGCAGGGTGGGGTAGGAGCAGTGGCCAGTGGCGCTGTCTCCACCTCGCCAGTGGCTGCCTCAGGCACTTTGCAGTCTCGAGTGAAATGGCCTCGTAGCTTCTTCACTCAGCGCAGTGAGGAAATCTACTAACCAGCCGCTAGCAGCCAACAGAGCATCTAGGTGGAGATGGGAGTCAGGAGCTCAAACAACAGACTGGGGGCTCTACTTGGCAGCAACCCTGCCAAACCGTAGGTTAGACAATCCTCTTGAGATCCGATGCTGGGCAAACGAAACTTGACCTTTGGCCCAACTAGCTTGGATTTGCCTGCGCGCAAAGGCTGTAGATGCCCGGCCAGTAGCAGTGGCACTCGGAGCTTGCGTGATTAGTGCGGCAGGAGGTTAGTTGTAATCCGCGGAGGAGGACACGATGTCCAACCAAAAGTGTGGAGAGACTCACAGTTTGTTGGATAATGAATCAGGCGTGGATTAGTCTGGATTTCAAACCACCAGTTCCTGACACAACTGACTAAAATCCGCCATGAATCATGCCCCAAACATGTGCCACTTTCAGTGTCTCTATACACTGCTGGTGTATGTTTCAATTTTTGTCTTGTGCTGGCAGATTACGCCTCCCATAGCTGCTATGCCAGGCCCCTAATCTGCCATGGGCCCCTATACCGCCTCCTCATGCTGCTGCCAGGTCCAGAGTCTCTCATGGGTCCCTGTACGGCCTCCCATTGCTGCTGTCTCCATCGCCACACTCTGCCATGTGTCCACTTTTCAGGTCTCCTCACACACTGCTGGTGTGTTCCAATTTTTTGTCATAGGGTGCTGGCAGATTACGGGCCTCCCATAGCTGCTGCCAGGCCCCCTAATCTGCCATGGGCCCTATACCGCCTCCTCATGCTGCTGCCAGGCCAGAGTCTCTCATGGGTCCCTGTACGGCCTCCTCATTGCTGCTGTCTCCATCGCCACACTCTGCCATGTGCCACTTTCAGGTTCTCCTCACTTGCTGGTGTGTTCAATTTTTTTGTCATAGGGTCTGGTGTGTTCCATTTTTTGTCATAGGGTGCTGGCAGATTACGGGCCTCCCATAGCTGCTGCCAGGCCCTAATCTGCCATGGGCCCCTGTACCGCCTCCTCATGCTGCTGCCAGGTCCAGAGTCTCTCATGGGTCCCTGTACGGCCTCCCATTGCTGCTGTCTCCATCGCCACACTCTGCCATGTGCCACTTTCAGGTCTCCTCACACACTGCTGGTGTGTTCCATTTTTTGTCATAGGGTGCTGGCAGATTACGGGCCTCCCATAGCTGCTGCCAGGCCCCTAATCTGCCATGGGCCCCTGTACCGCCTCCTCATGCTGCTGCCAGGTCCACAGTGTCTCATGCCATGTGCCACTTTCAGGTCTCCTCACACTGCTGGTGTGTTCCATTTTTTGTCATAGGGTGCTGGCAGATTACGGGCCTCCCATAGCTGCTGCCAGGCCCCTAATCTGCCATGGGCCCCTATACCGCCTCCTCATGCTGCTGCCAGGTCCAGAGTCTCTCATGGGTCCTGTACGGCCTCCCATTGCTGCTGTCTCCATCGCCACACTCTGCCATGTGCCACTTTCAGGTCTCCTCACACACTGCTGGTGTGTTCAATTTTTTGTCATAGGGTGCTGGCAGATTACGGGCCTCCCATAGCTGCTGCCAGGCCCCTAATCTGCCATGGGCCCCTGTACCGCCTCCTCATGCTGCTGCCAGGTCCAGAGTCTCTCATGGGTCGGCCTCCCAGCTGCTGTCTCATGCCATGTGCCACTTTCAGGTCTCCTCACACTGCTGGTGTGTTCCATTTTTTGTCATAGGGTGCTGGCAGATTACGGGCCTCCCATAGCTGCTGCCAGGCCCCTAATCTGCCATGGGCCCCTATACCGCCTCCTCATGCTGCTGCCAGGTCCAGAGTCTCTCATGGGTCCCTGTACGGCCTCCCATTGCTGCTGTCTCCATCGCCACACTCTGCCATGTGCCACTTTCAGGTCTCCTCACACACTGCTGGTGTGTTCAATTTTTTGTCATAGGGTGCTGGCAGATTACGGGCCTCCCATAGCTGCTGCCAGGCCCCTAATCTGCCATGGGCCCCTATACCGCCTCCTCATGCTGCTGCCAGGTCCACAGTGTCTCATGTACGGCCTCCCATTGTGCTGCCATCGCCACACTTGCCATGTGCCACTTTCAGGTCTCCTCACACACTGCTGGTGTGTTCCATTTTTTGTCATAGGGTGCTGGCAGATTACGGGCCTCCCATAGCTGCTGCCAGGCCCCTAATCTGCCATGGGCCCCTATGTTATACCGCTCCTCATGCTGCTGCCAGGTCCAGAGTCTCTCATGGGTCCCTGTACGGCCTCCCATTGCTGCTGCTGTCTCCATCGCCACACACTCTGCCATGTGCCACTTTCAGGTCTCCTCACACACTGCTGGTGTGTTCCATTTTTTGTCATAGGGGTGCTGGCAGATTACGGGCCTCCCATAGCTGCTGCCAGGCCCCTAATCTGCCATGGGCCCCTGTACCGCCTCATGCTGCTGCTGCCAGGTCCACAGTGTATCTGCCATGTGCACTTTCAGGTCTCCTCACACTGCTGGTGTGTTCCATTTTTTTTGTCATAGGGTGCTGGCAGATTACGGGCCTCCCATATAGCTGCTGCCAGGCCCCTAATCTGCCATGGGCCCCTATACCGCCTCCTCATGCTGCCAGGTCCAGAGTCTCATGGGTGCTTCATGGGTCCCTGTACGGCTCCCATTGCTGCTGTCTCCATCGCCACACTCTCTGCCATGTGCCACTTTCAGGTCTCCTCACACACTGCTGGTGTGTTCCATTTTTTGTCATAGGGTGCTGGCAGATTACGGGCCTCCATAGCTGCTGCCAGGCCCCTAATCTGCCATGGGCCCCTGTACCGCCTCCTCATGCTGCTGCCAGGTCCTCAGTGTCTCCCATTGCCATGTGCCACTTTCAGGTCTCCTCACACTGCTGGTGTGTTCCATTTTTTGTCATAGGGTGCTGGCAGATTACGGGCCTCCCATAGCTGCTGCCAGGCCCCTAATCTGCCATGGGCCCCTATACCGCCTCCTCATGCTGCTGCCAGGTCCAGAGTCTCTCATGGGTCCCTGTACGGCCTCCCATTGCTGCTGTCTCCATCGCCACACTCTGCCATGTGCCACTTTCAGGTCTCCTCACACTGCTGGTGTGTTCCATTTTTTGTCATAGGGTGCTGGCAGATTACGGGCCTCCCATAGCTGCTGCCAGGCCCCTAATCTGCCATGGGCCCTGTACCGCTGTCCTCATGCTGCTGCCAGGTCCACAGTGTCTCATGCCATGTGCCACTTTCAGGTCTCCTCACACTGCTGGTGTGTTCATTTTTTGTCATAGGGTGCTGGCAGATTACGGGCCTCCCATAGCTGCTGCCAGGCCCCTAATCTGCCATGGGCCCCTATACCGCCTCCTCATGCTGCTGCCAGGTCCAGAGTCTCTCATGGGTCCCTGTACGGCCTCCCATTGCTGCTGTCTCCATCGCCACACTCTGCCATGTGCCACTTTCAGGTCTCCTCACACTGCTGGTGTGTTCAATTTTTTGTCATAGGGTGCTGGCAGATTACGGGCCTCCCATAGCTGCTGCCAGGCCCCTAATCTGCCATGGGCCCCTGTACCGCCTCCTCATGCTGCTGCCAGGTCCACAGTGTCTCATCATGCCATGTGCCACTTTCAGGTCTCCTCACACTGCTGGTGTGTGTTCCATTTTTTGTCATAGGGTGCTGGCAGATTACGGGCCTCCCATAGCTGCTGCCAGGCCCCTAATCTGCCATGGGGCCCCTATACCGCCCTCTCATGCTGCTGCTGCAGGTCCAGAGTGTCTCATGGGGGTCCCTGTACGGCGCCTCCCATTGCTGCTGTCTCCATCGCCACACTCTGCCATGTGCCACTTTCAGGTCTCCTCACACTGCTGGTGGTGTTCCATTTTTTGTCACATAGGGTGCTGGCAGATTACGGGCCTCCCATAGCTGCTGCCAGGCCCCTAATCTGCCATGGGCCCCTGTACCGCCTCCTCATGCTGCTGCCAGGTCCACAGCTGTCTCCATCGCCACATGCCATGTGCCACTTTCAGGTCTCTCCTCACACTGCTGGTGTGTTCCATTTTTTGTCATAGGGTGTGGCAGATTACGGGCCTCCCATAGCTGCTGCCAGGCCCCTAATCTGCCATGGGCCCCTATACCGCCTCCTCATGCTGCTGCCAAGTCCAGAGTCTCTCATGGGTCCCTGTACGGCCTCCCATTGCTGCTGTCTCCATCGCCACACTCTGCCATGTGCCACTTTCAGGTCTCCTCACACACTGCTGGTGTGTTCAATTTTTTGTCATAGGGTGCTGGCAGATTACGGGCCTCCCATAGCTGCTGCCAGGCCCCTAATCTGCCATGGGCCCCTGTACCGCCTCCTCATGCTGCTGCCAGGTCCACAGTGTCTCATGCCATGTGCCACTTTCAGGTCTCCTCACACACTGCTGGTGTGTTCCATTTTTTGTCATAGGGTGCTGGCAGATTACGGGCCTCCCATAGCTGCTGCCAGGCCCCTAATCTGCCATGGGCCCCTATACCGCCTCCTCATGCTGCTGCCAGGTCCAGAGTCTCTCATGGGTCCCTGTACGGCCTCCCATTGCTGCTGTCTCCATCGCCACACTCTGCCATGTGCCACTTTCAGGTCTCCTCACACACTGCTGGTGTGTTCAATTTTTTGTCATAGGGTGCTGGCAGATTACGGGCCTCCCATAGCTGCTGCCAGGCCCCTAATCTGCCATGGGCCCCTGTACCGCCTCCTCATGCTGCTGCTGCCAGGTCCACAGTGTGTCTCATGCCATGTGCCACTTTCAGGTCTCTCTCACAACACTGCTGGTGTGTTTCTTTTTTTTGTCATAGGGTGCTGGCAGATTACGGGCCTCCCATAGCTGCTGCCAGGCCCCTAATCTGCCATGGGCCCTATACCGCCTCCTCATGCTGCTGCCAGGGTCCAGAGTTCTCTCATGGGTCCCTGTACGGCCTCCCATTGCTGCTGTCTCTCCATCGCCACACTCTGCCATGTGCCACTTTCAGGTCTCCTCACACACACTGCTGGTGTGTTCAATTTTTTGTCATAGGGTGCTGGCAGATTACGGGCCTCCCATAGCTGCTGCCAGGCCCCTAATCTGCCATGGGCCCCTGTACCGCCTCCTCATGCTGCTGCCAGGTCCACAGTGTCTCATGCCACATCTGCCATGTGCCACTTTCAGGTCTCCTCACACTGCTGGTGTGTTCCATTTTTTGTCATAGGGTGCTGGCAGATTACGGGCCTCCCATAGCTGCTGCCAGGCCCTAATCTGCCATGGGCCCCTATACGCCTCCTCCTCATGCTGCTGCCAGGGTCCAGAGTCTCTCATGGGTCCCTGTACGGCCTCCCATTGCTGCTGTCTCCATCGCCACACTCTGCCATGTGCCACTTTCAGGTCTCCTCACACACTGCTGGTGTGTTTCAATTTTTTGTCATAGGGTGCTGGCAGATTACGGGCCTCCCATAGCTGCTGCCAGGCCCCTAATCTGCCATGGGCCCCTGTACCGCCTCCTCATGCTGCTGCCAGGTCCAGAGTCTCTCATGGGTCCCTGTACGGCTCATTGCTGCTGTCTCCATCGCCACACTCTGCCATGTGCCACTTTCAGGTTCCTCACACTGCTGGTGTGTTCAATTTTTTGTCATAGGGTGCTGGCAGATTTACGGGCCTCCCATAGCTGCTGCCAGGCCCCTAATCTGCCATGGGCCCCTATACCGCCTCCTCATGCTGCTGCCAGGTCCAGAGTCTGTCATGGGTCCCTGTACGGCCTCCATTGCTGCTGTCTCCATCGCCACACTCTGCCATGTGCCACTTTCAGGTCTCCTCACACTGCTGGTGTGTTCATTTTTTTGTCATAGGGTGCTGGCAGATTACGGGCCTCCCATAGCTGCTGCCAGGCCCCTAATCTGCCATGGGCCCCTATACCGCCTCCTCATGCTGCTGCCAGGTCCAGAGTCTTCATGGGTCCCTGTACGGCCTCCCATTGCTGCTGTCTCCATCGCCACACTCTGCCATGTGCCACTTTCAGGTCTCCTCACACTGCTGGTGTGTTCCATTTTTTGACATAGGGTGCTGGCAGATTACGGGCCTCCCATAGCTGCTGCCAGGCCCCTAATCTGCCATGGGCCCCTGTACTACCGCCTCCTCATGCTGCTGCCAGGTCCAGGTCTCTCATGGGTCCCTGTACGGCCTCCCATTGCTGCTGTCTCCATCGCCACACTCTGCCATGTGCCACTTTCAGGTCTCCTCACACTGCTGGTGTGTTCCATTTTTTGTCATAGGGTGCTGGCAGATTACGGGCCTCCCATAGCTGCTGCCAGGCCCCTAATCTGCCATGGGCCCCTATACCGCCTCCTCATGCTGCTGCCAGGTCCAGAGTGTGTCATGGGTCCCTGTACGGCCTCCCATTGCTGCTGTCTCCATCGCCACACTCTGCCATGTGCCACTTTCAGGTCCTCACACTGCTGGTGTGTTCCATTTTTTGTCATAGGGTGCTGGCAGATTACGGGCCTCCCATTGCTGCTGCCAGGCCGGCCTAATCTGCCATGGGCCCCTTAGTACCGCCTCCTCATGCTGCTGCCAGGTCCACAGTCTCTCATGGGGTCCCTGTACGGCCTCCCATTGCTGTGTCTCCATCGCCACAC